ACTGAAGGTGAGCGCTGGCGGTTACATCGAGCAACTCGAGAAGAATATCCTCCCACATGTCGTCGCCCGTACCTTCTTGGAAACTTTGTACTGCTACAGGATTGGGTGACACCACATGGAATCAAAGGGCGTTGGAAACTCTTGCCTACTTGGAAAGGAGGGCGTTAAGTTCCTGAAGAAGATGGAATTTTGAAGGGAGTCACCTGCCTAAACCCATCAATTACCTGGTTCGGGCGGAGTTCAATAGGGTGGTCTACAGTGGCGGAGAAATCAACGATCTCGCTGAACTCAGGCACCGAACCATGGTTGCGTGGCAGAATCTCTCGATGGCGGTGGTCCAGAAGGCTGTGGCGGAGTATCATGATAGTATTTAATATGCTCTTTAATATGGTGGTAGAAATGTCCGATCAGAATTCAATAAAGTGTAACTTATAGCGCCTCGAAAGTCAATAAAGTGTCTTTTTTTGCCCCCCCCCCTTCTGTATTATTCAGTTAGCTGTGGATGAAGGAGGCGTGCCAGGCAGCATGAGTGTGCCACGCCGCCAAACCTGTTCTCTGCCCGTTGCTGAGGCAGGTATGCGACAACAGTTGGTAAAATACGAGTGATAGAAAGATATGATACAGTATAGTTTGTTGCTCGCTTTACATTTGGTGAGAAACGGGTTTGAAACCGTTCCAAACTCTACCACGACTGACATCCTTCCTCCGCAGCGAACTAGACTACAAGCCGACCATAAGTCCCCACTTTTTCAAATGAGATGATCTACCAGGCTTGAACAAAACTGATGAGATCAGGACGGACTCTGGGTAAAGTCGGTCAATAAAGGAAAAGCTAACGCAAACGTTGCAATTCTCACAACGTTAATGCCCTAGAAAGTGTTAGGTTTGAATAACTAATTGTAAGAACAGTTTTGACGTGCACGGTAGGTATATCTAATACTCCTGCAAAACCCCACATAAGATTCTTTATATATATAAGAATGAACTTGACGAAACTTTGCTTATCGACTACTAAACAAGCAGATCGGTAGTTACTGTTAGAACGTATTGTTTTTTTAATGGTTGCTTCTTGATAACTGGAATCGGTTCTATTCTTTCGAGCCCTTGAACTTGCTCCAAACTTCCTGATTTAGAAGCGATTTTCTCCACAGAACCTTTTGGCTTCAGTTTCTTCAGCGACTTTTCGTCACTTTTTTCTTTTGATCCGCCCTCTTTTGAATCTGTTGGCATTGCCTGTTTCTTTTTCGCAGCTGCTTGTTTTTTTGCTTCCTCTTTCTGCCTCTTCTGAACAACTATGCATATTATCTACATGACGCTATTAATAATAAATGACAGATCTTTTACCTTCCGTAATCTCTCTCGCACCCCCTTCAGGTATGGAACGAGGATGACGACTATGGTGAGGAGTGCCACACATTGAGTGCCTATCACCACAGCCACCATAGTCCTGCAATCGCTAGCTTGAAGAACAGTATCCTTTAAGGTGAGCCGACCAAAAACACTGATAAAATCCTTTTTACATCTTGAGTTTATGAAGCACAAATAATACAAGGCTGTTTCATAACAGC